AATGATGAATCAGTGCAAGAATTCTCCCACAGAAGCACAAGGCATTTTTTTGGGAATTCAAACTGCCCGTGTTCAGCTGACAGGGCATGCACAACTTTCACAAAGGTCGGATTTTGTAGGGATTCTTTTCTATTTTCACAACATAACTTTTTAGAAATTTTAAATCCTCAAAGTGCCTAAAAGTTAAATTTGTAAAAGTTAGCCTAGCCCCGCTATGAGTCCGCTTTAGCAGCTCTGATTGGTCCAAATGCTTCATGCCGTGCACGTTACAGACGTCAAAACATTTTTTGGGCCCATGCACCAATGAGCACAGACCACTGAAAACAAAATCCATGTATCATTCGTTCATTCGTTTTTCAATATAAAACCAAAAAATAAGAAAACGAAAAAATAACAGTTTTCTTGATTATTTGTCTCCAAAACCAAAATGAAAAAACGGACAATGATTTGTTTTTTCAGTTTTTGATTTTGTGTTTAAATGAAGAATGGAAAAAATGGATAACGGCCATTTCCCGTTTACGTAACTTCCGTGACTGCGATGCCGGACTTCTGCACTGCATACGGAATGAACCAGGACTGATCCAGGTCCGGGACCAGACCGGGACCGAGACCAGAGCAGGACCAGAGCAAGACTGAGACCGAGACCAGACCGGGACCAGACCGGGACCAGACCAGACCGGGACCAGACCAGGACCAGACCGAGACTGAGATTAGAACTGAGACCGGGACCAGACCAAGACTGAGACCAGGCCGGGACCAGGATGGGACCAGACCAGGACCAGACCGAGACTGAGATCAGAACTGAGACCGGGACCAGACTGAGACTTAGACCAGACCGGGACCAGGATGGGACCAGACCGGGACCAGACCAGAGGCTCAGAGCCCACGGCAGGGCCGGAGTTCGAAGCTGAGGCTCGGACCCCGCGGAGGCTCGAAGTCAAAGCTCGGAGTCCCGCTCTGGTCCCGGACCTGGATCAGTCCTGGTTCAGTCCATATGTGGCGCAAAAGTCCAACATCGCAGTCACGTAAACGGGAAACGGCTGTTATCCGTTTTTTCCATTCTTCATTTAAACACAAAATCAAAAACAGAGAAAAAAAAATCATTATCCGTTTTTTCATTTTGGTTTTGGAGACAAATAATGAAGAAAACTGTTGTTTTTTTCGTTTTCTTATTTTTGGTTTTATATTGAAAAATGAATGAACGAATGATACACAGATTAAACAATACGGCACCATCTTGGATTCATCTTCCAGATTTTATTATAGTTCTATGCTGTGGCCTGTGTGAAGGTTCTGTGGGTGGGACCTGGTTGGAGATCCCTGATTGGCCAGCTGGCAGCCAATCAGAGGAGGGAGAGGAACTTTCAAAAGGAGCTGTGTGCCACCAGTTTTTTCTCTCATGTCATGTCATATCATTACTAGAGGACGGTAGACTGGTAATTTTGGTTGGGAGGTTGGTATGGGTGAGTGGGCACCTTTACATCCCACAGTACTTTATAAACACTATAGTTTTATACACACATATAGTTTTATACACACATATAGTTTTATACACACATATAGTTTTATACACACATATAGTTTTTTACACACTATAGTTTATACATACTAGGTTCATCAGTTGTTGCCACCCTTGTTCTATATTATTATTATTACAAAACCTTTTATTTTTATTTATTTATTATTTTTTTTAGATTGATTTCTTCCTTTCTTAGTTGAGATTTCAGTCAAGCCCTAATCTGTTACACTTTGATTTTGTTCTTTTGGCACAACTGACACATGCCTCCTCCCACCATTTTATTTAAATTTTGTTGAATGATTTGGCTTCAAAAATAAAATAGCCAAACAACTGCTGACTCCTTGTCTCATTATGATTGTTCTATTTTAGTTGTCTTTTAGCAAATAAGGGACATACAGCTCAGGAAGGGAATTCTAGAGGTTCTCAGCTTTCACATGAGGCCTAAAAAAAAGACTTGTATGTGTCCAGGTTGAGTTGTGATTGTAATACCTTTTTAAAATTACACAGTGCAGGCGACATACACTTCCTTTAAGCATACTCTGAATACCCCTATGTTTTTCTTTGTTTTGGGCCTGAGGATGTAGTTACAAATGGCTGTCACATGGCACCTTAAACTCCCATTTCTGTTCAGAGATGGATAGTTTTTTCCATAAAATTATATCTTTTTTGACACCTCTCTCACGTGTGGATCGCCCACAGAAAGTACAACACAGCTACCAGAGCAGAAGCACATTCTTGGTGGAGCTGAGGTTTATATCATTGATTTGGTGTAACTTGGTGTAACTTTTAGGGCACAGAGAAATGAAAAATGGAAAAATGTCTAATTCCAGTATGAAATTGGCTCAAGAGTCTCTATCCCAGTAGAGTTTTGACACGTCTCGCGTCTTAATCCTGGACACAGTAATTCCGGGTCACTAATGTTGTACAAACCTTATCAGCCTCCTGCAGAACTACAACTGATTGAGCCATGAGGCAGTTACACAGGATTTTACACATCTGCTGTTTTTATTCAGACACAGGCCCAGTAAAAAATTGTGATTTTATGCTTCAATTTGCCCATTTATTTTTAGGAGAAAGTGCCAAGGGCCACAAGCTGCTCGTCTCAACAAAACTACAGCTATGACAACAGTGTAATGCGAGGTTCGGCTGCAAATTGCCTGAGTGCTCCCTTAGCGGCAGAGTGGGGAGCTCAGTCACATGAAAGGAGCTTGGACTAGATCTGCTGCTCATCTAGAGGAACCAGCTCGATACTATGGAAATGTTTCACGCAGGCCATTTTTCTTAGTTTTAGCACCTTTAAAATGATGTTATTTTACTGAGCTGATGATTTTCTTAGTCTGAGAGGATGCCAAGCTTAAGTATCTGCTTTGAAATGGCCTTAGTGATTTGCATCAATATCAACAGCTTTAACCTTTAAATGAGTTGATCTGAGATTACTCTTTGCGCTTTTCCTATCCAACCTATCAGCAGGTTTTAGATTAATGGCACAGTTTTCAATTTTATAGCACAGTTGCCTTAGAAATAAAAGCAAAATGTCTGTTTTAAGGGTCTGTATTTTTTATTTTTAATGGTATTATGCTAAATTGCCTTTCTAGTGCTTTCTATCTTATTACAACATTGCTCCCTCATCAAAAACATGCCTGAAGAGCATGTTTGAGTGATCAGTCCCACGATTAGACTCAGAGCCTCATGTTAATATGTTGGTTTTGGTAAATATATAATTTGAACATGAATATAGCATCAAAACAGTAAAATGTGACCTCTAAATGTAAATCTAAATCTAAATATGTTATGTGTTTGCAATTATTAGCCCATAGAAGTGTAATGCCCTCTCTTTAAGTATCCACAGAAAGGCTGGCATTTCAAAGTGCGAGTAAAGCGCTCACAAAAGCAGCTCCAAATTGCTGAAGAGGAGGTTTCTCTGCTCCTTCTCTGAGCAGGATTGTGTCTGTCACAGATAAACTCATGAGTTCAGTCCCACGGCTCAACGGGCTCAAGATGCTGAGAATTAACACTGTAAGTGCCCGAGATATGGTACTAGTGTGTATGTGTTAATGTGTTTATACGTGCATGTGTGTGTGTTTATGTGTTTATAAGTGTGTGTGTGTCTTCACGTGTGTAAGGATGAGCAGTCTGTAAGTATGTTAGAGCATGCTCGGCTCACTCTCACTCCAGGTTTCTGTTCTGGGGGAATTATAAAATAGTTATTTGAAAATTTTCTGTCATGTTACGCTGTCAGCAAAACCCAAACCAGTGCTTTTTTGAGGATATGATATGTAAGATGTTGAAGAGTCTTTTTAAACTCAGAAAAGGAGTTTCAAATATTTATAATCTTGAATTCTGAACCAACCAACAGCTCCTAGTCTAAACTCGCTTGTGTGTGCCGTGTGGTGCCATAGAATTTGGGGATTAAGATTTTAAATATAGTGCATATACTACATTTTCCAGTAAAAGCAATCATTTCTGTTGTTTCTCCAGAGTTCACATGGCTCCCCCTGGAGGTTGCAGGAGACAGAGGAGGGACTCTTTTGTTCTAAGGGCTGTTACTCTCCTCAAACTGCTGCTCAAATCTGATGTTCCCATAGACCAAGATTGGGTGTTTAAAGATCCTATATTAAACTAAATTTTCTCTTGTGAGCTCTGAGTTGCTTTTTGTTTCATTCACACGTTTGAGTAGCCATTTATAATTTGTTTGTCTACATTTCCAAAGCTCAAAAACGCTCTGTTCCACCTTGCGATGTCATGAAGCTGTAGTTTAAGTTAACATATTCCTTTTACCTTTAGTTCAGTAAAAATGGGCAGTTCTAAATACGCAGAGTTTCTGTGTTAAACATGTGTGAATGAAACAAAGCAAACACAACTCCAGGTATGTTTCTGATAAAGGAAACAACATACGTCACAAAATAGCATAATATGGAGCTATGGAGCTTGTATATTTCAGAATTTGGATCCCTATTTTTATATTTTGTCCTTGAGGTCCATCCATGTTTTTTGAGATTACGATAAATGAGAACTGAATATGAAATGAGAAATAAATATGAAATTCATGTCAAGTCTGTCCTTTTCTTCCAGTAACCAATTTCTACTATCTGTACTGAAACGATGTCCGTATGGTGCGTTATATAATTGCGTAATCATGTTTAATCACATTTCATTTTACGGTTTCCATGTCTAGACAGCAGCACTCGTCGTTTATCTTAATGACTTCAATAATCAATGACATGGCAGAGAAGATAATGTGGTCCTCAGCCCCCCACAGCTCCACAACATAATGAGAGATAATCATCAATGATCCACTTCTAATTAAAAACACAATCACCGTAGAAGACTGTTGGCTCTGGCTCTTCCTGTTATAATGTGCACATCTTGGACCCAAAAGCAAAACACAACTCATGTAAAGGTAAGAGGTTTTATTTTACAGCAGGGTACGGACCTCAGAAAACAAGATCTTTAGAATATGAACCACGAGCTAGTTACCAATATGGACAAACTGAGGAACTGTCAGGGGGTAGAAGAAGAACCAGGCTTATATCGGCAGGAGTTGAGGGAAGATGGATGTAAGGTGAGTGATTGAGGCAGACTGCAGCCAGTGTTGGTTAGGGAGAAACTGGAGGATCCGCTGCAAACTGTTCAATAACTAAGTCTACGTTCAGACTGTAGCCTGATGAGACCCAAATCTGATTTCTTTGCCCCTATGTGACCTGTATATGACCCAGGCCACTTGGATATGTGCTCCTAAAACCGATACATATCCGATCTTTTGACATGCGACTTCAGTCTGAACGGACAGGTCGCATTCATCCCACCTACATGTCATCAACAAGCAACAAATGTCACTATTCTGCACTAAAGTAGGCAGAAAATGGAAGAAAGCCACAACCATGGCGCTCACAAATGTACACAAATGTTCCTCTCGTCATGAAAATTGTGTCAGAACTCCGTCTCAGTGCCGCAGCGAAGCCCACAGTAACCCCACTACTTTTGGCTGTGACTCTGCACCCACATGTTTCTTTCTACATACGTTGCTGCCACTGCCCCATAAAACCCCATGGCCAAAAACCTTCTCTTTCTCAATCTCCTCCTTGCTGTACATGATCTGGCTCAATACTCACGTCCATGTTTAGGCGACTTCCGTAAACACTGAGCACACTCGCTGCATGTGATGTTGTTGTGTCCTCCGGTGCACATGCTGGACATTTTTGGGGCATTTAAAGTTCACACTGGAGATCAGATACAAGATGCATTTAATTGGAAATGTGAACAACCTCGCAAAAAAATCGTATTTCACAAAAAAAAAAAAAAAATAATCTAAATTGAGCATTGAGCCCTGCAGTCTGAACATAACCAAAAATAGATCTGGATAAATGAGCCTGTCACGATAACAAATTTTGAAGCAGGATAAAACCCTACAGAGAAATTTGTTTTTGATGATATTAAATTATAATACTAAAACTACTCTACGCCACTGATTAACATAAAATAAGACTAGATCATCCCAGCAAACCCTTTTTGAATAGGTGGTATCGTTAAACTGTTTCCCATTAATGTACGAGACTATGGTGGCCCCTCATGTTCTAAAATAGTCCCCCACATTCTATAATAAACTACACTATATATTGTCATAACAGAATTAGACTTTCTCAGTGTATTATCATAAACATAAATAAGAGACTATACTGATGAAATATGAATATATATTATAGGTATAACGTGTAGTTCACCCTGTGTTCGATTATCTTTCCGAATCGGTTTTCTGAGGAAGTTGCCTGGTGACACACCCCTTTTCTTGGGACGGCGCGAGTCAGACCTCGGTGGTGGAAAAAGTCGACCGAGCAAGGATTGTGAGTCAGAATCCAAGATGGCTACCACCACTGTGATGTGTAAATATGAAGTGTTTTCATTGTGTTTGGACACTTTGGTGGGTTAAATGATTTTCAGTCAAATTTCAATCACTCGTATTACTGCAATACCTTACTGCGTCCGTATCACTTCCTGTGGGTATGGTAACTGGTGTTGCGGTGAGGCTCTATGAGTCTTGATAGACAGATTGTGTCCATAGATTGTATAAAAGAAGTGGCCTAAGCAAGGGTGATGTCACCAATACTGTTCAACACCGCTCAAATGAGGCGGTTATAGGAGTGAATCTGGAGCCAGACCCTGTGTTTTTAATATGGATATATTGGATATTGGATATGGATAATAATGGATCCTGTAGAGTGAGTTAATACGAACATTTTAAGACCAAAATGATGAGGCTCACAGCAGCAGTTACAGAGAGAGGGGCAACAAGATCCTAATGTAAGTCCATTGCCGGAAGAGCCTCCTGGCGAACTTCCTATTTGGCACACGGCAGCAATATGTTAGCTTTGTCCACTCATATATACGGTCTATGAGTTTGACACGCAAAACATAATAATATGCTTCAAGCTTGGACATGACATCAAATCCGAGGTACAAGTGGGAGTCACAAGATAATGGAACACAGGGTTATACTCCACAAACTGATTGAGATCAAATGAGCCACTGTAGTCTTAACAACATCTATGTCATGTACACACGAGTTACACAATGCACCTTTAATGCAAAAGTAATGTTACTGTGATATGAACAGACATACAATAATATAAATATATAAATATATTAATATATATAATATAAATATAGCGTATAGATTGAATTGAAATGATTTATTTTTGGTTCTTAAACGGTCACAAATGTTATAAATATACATATATATATATATATATATATATATATATATATATATATATATATATATATATATATATATATATATATATATATATATATATATATATATATATATATATATATATATATATATATATATATATATATATATATATATATATTAGCTCTTATGGTTATATTGTGACCTGAATAATCACCAAATAATCTTGACATCCCTAAAACAGACTTACAGTATTTTATTGTTACACAGATCAAAGCCTGTGTTCCCCTTAGTTACTGTGCAGCACACACAGAGCCCATCACTGCATGTACCCTGGGACAGAGGCCATTATACAGAATGGTCCTACAGGGACTATGGAGCTGTGGAGTGACTCCAGACTCGGTGCCACTAATGATGTCCCTCTGATTGTCTGCGCTCTGAGCTGGTTAGGACAGACAACCTCGGCCAAAAGCAAGAAATATTCATGATTCTGTATTTGTAATGCCTATATTAGTACAAGCTGCATGCTGCTATCTCTGGTTTAATTCTGTATTTCTAAGGTCTGTATCAGTACAAGTCCTCAGGGTCATTTGTGAACACGTAGCAGGACCATTTCATTATTGTGGGTTTGATGAGGAGGCAACGACACAGCTTCAACCTGAAGGATTTTAAATGAAACACTGCTCAGAAATGAAATAAGCTGTCAGGGCCAACAGGAATTATGATAAACGTGCTATTAGTATAAATCCTTTAATTACAAAGAGCTGGTAATGGAAACTGTCCATCTCACTCCCAGTCATTTTACAAAGAGTCGTTTTGCTGAGAAAATATTTCAGAGGCCCCGGAGGTAATGAGTCTATGTCATGTCAGAGGCTCACAAAGAGACAAGCTGCTGCTACAGAATAAAAGGTCCTATATTACGCTAAATTGACTCTTGTGAGCTTTAAACCGTGTTATAATGTTGTAACCTCCTCAAAAACAGACCTGGAGTTGTGTTCTGTTTCATTCACACATGTTAGAGTAATCCTTTATTATTTGTCTGTCTACATCTCCAAAGCTCAGAATGCTCTGGTCCACCTTGTGATGTCATGTAGTGGTAGCTTTCAAGTTAACAGATACATTTAAAGATTTAAAGGGGCAGTTGGGAATTTTGGACATAGGATCTCATTTCCTCGTGAGCCAGAGTGTTGGAGATGTGTGGAGACACTGTTTTAAATATTCCATCCAGTGCTTGTATTTGCAGAGGTCGCTGGTGCTACGCTAGTGCATGTCAATGGCCATAGTTAGCCTGCCACTAAAAACAGTCTTATCCGCTCTGCAAAACACCCGAAGCAAATCTATTATTACACCAGACTGTCGATGTAAATGTCTGTGTTGACAGAATAATGTTTGAAATAAAAATAACCTTGCATCGCATGAATCGTTGCATGCTGAGGGACTATTTTCTCATATATCAGTCCACCGCTGCCGAGCTTTCTATCAGGAAGTACAACTCACTGCTGCTGCTCAGACATAAATCCTTCAAATGCAAGGTTGGTTTTACTTCCAATATGATTCTACTGACACAGACATTTACATCGAGAGTCTGGCGTAATAATAAATTTTCTTTGGATGTTTTGTGGAGTGGGTAAGACTGTTTTTAGTGTCAGGATAACTATGGCCATTGACATGCGCTAGCCTAGCACCATTGACCTCTGCAAATACAAGGACTGGATGGAATATTTTAAAAAGTGTCTCCACACGTCTCCAACACTCTGGCTCACTAGGAAATGAGACCCTATGTCCAAACCCGGACTGTCCCTTTCTTTTAATCTTTAGTTCAGTAGAGATTGACAATTACACTGTTGAAATCATGTAAATGATTCTAGTGAAGGTGTATGGAGTTTAAAAACACAACTCTGGGTTTCTGATGAGGAAACAAAATTATAACAGGCTTAAAAATAGTGTAATGAGAGCCCTTTATTAAGCAAGTCTCTCATCTCGATCACAGGGGAGTTGTTGTGGGTGGTAGAGTCTCAGTGGTTTGAGTGCTCGCCCACCAACCCAAAGGTAGGCGGTTTGATCCCAGCTCATGGAGACACTTCACACACTTTGCCTCCCAGTGAACGTTGAGTGAGTGGCTGGTGGAGGTCAGATGGTTGGAGCTGTTTAATACTCCAGGTCAGTTGTGACTACACACTGGATAATGACTAGTACTTCGAGAGGCTTGTCAAACTTGTAAAGCTCAATACAACTGTGAAGTTCTATTAAAGGTCCTACAGTATATTACGTGAAATTGACTCTTGTGAGCTTTAAGCCACGCTAGAATGGTCTTACCTCCTCAAAAACATCTCCAGTAACCCAACATTATTAGTCTAACTACATCTCTAAAGCTCAAAATGTCTGTTCCACTTAGTAGGGATGTAACAATAACCGAAATATTGTAATAACGCATCGTCAAAGGTCTCACAATAATATCGTGGACCATCAAAATATATCAAATGACAAGTCTCTTCTCTTGAATAGTCTGGGTGCAGCAATAGCTAAAAACTCCAAAACAAAACAAAAAAACAGAGGGAACTATATAGACCATGATCCTTTGCTCCGTTTCATTGCAGACCACATAAAGAAATAAATGTAATAAGCACTTTTAAATCTTAGTTCTTTGGATTAAGTCTTGTCAAGGCATTTTAAGAAGATAAAGTAGCAGTAGTCTCCACAAAATATCACAATAAATATCGTTCCGTGAGAGCAATATCGTGAAAATATCGTACCGAGAGATTTGGATATCGTTACATCCCTAGTAGCCAGTGGTTGTTTTCAAGTTACAGCTACAGCTTTTACCTTTTGTTTATTTGTTGTAAATCAGCGATGCCGGGACTGAAA